ATACTCAAGTCATAAAGGGATTCGTAACTTCAAGGACTCTTGGAATTTTGACCTAATCTGAGGAGAAGACTCATGGTATGATAAGAACTCTACAGCATCTACATGTCTTCATCTATAAAAGGGGCGCAGGTTATTTCATTTACACAACACACACATAGAAATTCTCTCGTTATTCTGCCGTTTTTCCTTCGGACCACCACTGACTTGAGCGTCGGAGTATTCGCGCCGGGACCATCCCCGGCGTGTTTTGCAGGTACCGGCGATCAAAGAGACGTAACCCGGTTCGAAGAGAAGCGGTCCCGTGGTCTAGGTTTGTGTGGTATAACAGGGAGGTTTCTCGAGGAACCTTAAAAGACATGAAATTGTTGAGCAGGTTTTGGCTATTGAAGAGATCTTCAACCGAAGAGTGACAAATGTCGTATTTATGGGAATGGGAGAGCCCATGTTGAACATGAAAGAATTTCTTGAGGCACACCATTGTTTAAACCAGGATGTTGGAATTGGACAAAGGATGATAACAATTTCGACTGTTGGGGTTCCAAACACTATTAGGAGACTGGCTTCGTACAAACTTCAATCGACACTGGCTATTAGTTTGCATGCTCCCAATCAGAAACTCCGGGAAAAGATTGTGCCAAGCGCAAAGTCATATCCTTTGGAAGCAATAATGGAGGACTGCAAACACTACTTCCTTGAAACGGGCAGACGTGTGTCGTTTGAGTACACACTGTTAGCCGGCGTGAATGATACTGCAGAGCATGCGATAGATTTGGGCAAGCTTATTCACAAATGGGGTCCCGGATATCATGTTAACCTAATACCTTTCAATCCTGTACAAGGCTCCGAGTATCAGCGTCTCTCTAAAAAATCAATTCTTGGGTTTTCGACAGCTCTCGAGTCTCGGAAAATTACTGTTATTGTTCGCAAACAAGGGGACTTGATGCAAGTGCAGCCTGTGGGCAACTAAGGAATGACTTTCAGAAAATCCCTTTTCTTGCTGATAATGACGTGGACCAATCTGGAATACAGGTGGCAGATGCTTCTTGAAAATTTTTGTTTCACAATGGTTTGCTCTTATGGTGATGTTCTTTTGTGGATTTGTAAGTGCAGTACATATGACATTAATTTTTTCTCAATGAATTTGGCTACAAGGCCTTGAATACCAGAGTATGCATTGGTTTCTTAGGACCAATCCCCAGAATATGGCTGTTTATGAACCCAACAAAAGCTTGTTCGTATTCGATTACAGCTCCTTCGTTTGTTAAAAAAAAAAAAAGGTAGAACTCAAACACAACCTCAACCTGAGGAGCAGATGACCATCACTCGAACTAAAATGCAAAGGATGATTACAGAAGCAATAGCACCCCAACTCAGACAGTCATCTCGACCTGAACTACCTCGAGCTGAATAGACCCCTCGAGTCGAGCCACGACACCGACAGAAAAACAACCTCGACTTGAGGAGGAGCAGCATGCTCAGTCGAATGAACAACACAACAAGAGAGCAGATGATGAGGAATATTCAGTAAAAACTATTAATCCACAGGCAAAGAATGATACCTTAGAACAACTAATGGCCCAGGTCCGCGACTTGTAGGCTCGAGTAGAGGGAAAGAAGAGTGGCAGCTCAAGGGGACACCCTTTTCCCAACATATTCTGGATGTTGATTTATCGCAAAGGTTTAGAGAGCTGAACTTGTGGTTTGAAGGATCAACATATCCATATAGGCACTTGAGGAGCTTCAATAACATAGTTGTGTTGCATTGTTATAGTGTTTCGATGCCATGTAGGGCTTTCTTGACAACATTAAGGGGACCAGCTCAAGATTAGTTTCATCGGTTACTGCCAGGGGCGGTCCAGGATTTTGAGGGGTTTATTTCTAGCTTTACCAATCAATTTGCGAGTGACAATGCTCATGAGAAAACGTATCTTACTTTTATTAGAATGCAGCAGAAAGACGGGGAATCACTTCGAGACTATGTAGCTTGATATACTCAGGCATGTATGGATGTTCCTTCAGCCTCAAAGCAGATCAAATCAGAAGGATTAACTCGAGGGGATATGACTAGGACTGTGTAGGAATTCCTTGGCAAAACGACCAGAAAGGACCTTTGACGAGGTTCTGGCTAGATGTGCGAAGTACAAGAATGTTGAGAAAACGGAGGCCGATTTCTTGAAGGCGGCGAAGCTGGTTAAGACGGAGGATCGAGATGAAAAGAAAGATAAGAAATCTCACTCTTCAAAAGATAAAAAAAGGCTCACCGAGAGCTGATAGAGGATTTTAAGTCGGTTCAATAATCACTTATCACTTGTCGATCTAGGATTTTAAGTCGACTTAGTAGCTTCATTTGGCTCTCAAATTACATTTGAGGCTCCGATAATAATTACTCGATTTATTTCTCCTGCAGGCGAATTGATATTACTCGATTTATGTCTCCTGCAGGCGGATTGATATTCAACATAAGAATAGGGTTGAGTGGTACTAGTTTCAGAAAACTAAGTTAATTAATTAATTTTTTAGTAATTAAATTAATTAACATATAGTCAATATTTTAAACACGGAGGGAAAAGTGGGGATAGTAGAGCCCGAGACTTTAGTTTTGTAAATGGCAGTTCAATAACGAATCATTAGTCGGCTTATTTATGATAGGCGAATTTACATCCTTGCGTAGCCTAAAGTTATATATTTGCATAGATACTATTTTGTAAAATATTTGCATGAGTACAAAATTTACAAACATAACTATGGGAATACTAGCTTATTAAATGGTGGCAAATATCTATTTCCGTTAGACACGAGAAGATTTTATAACAAAATAATGCAAGAATATTCTCTCACATGGTAATAAAAAAAAATCACTTTTCACGTAGATTTAGCTTGCAAAAAATAGGGAATTTGATTGGTATCATCATTTTGATACTTTTGGTCATATCCACGAGCCGAATAATTATTTACATATGGCTGCAAGATAAAAGAAGGCACGACGCCCTTTTTTTATTTTTTTTAATTCGGGTTTTCTTATGTGTTATTTATTTCTTGAGTATATATTGCGTTTATAGTTAGTATATCTTTTAGTGTTTATATCTCAGGTGTTCTGAATGCACATAATATGTTGCATTTATAGTTATATATATTCAGTATATGTTGCAATAATCTTCTATTATACCAAAACAACAAAAAAGCAACAATTTGCTAACAACAATCAAATAAAATCATGTGTATTTACAATATATAAAACAAGTTGAAATCGTACTCATGTACATATACTAAAAATTATATTGTCGACCTTAACATATAATGAAAATATACTGTTGACCTTAACGTATAATAAAAATATACTGTTGACATATAATAAAATACACAATATCTTTGTCGGAAACATATACTGTATATAAACGTATCATATACTTTCGACCTTAACATCAAACGTGCGGCCGATCTACAAAAATAAAAATTAACCTAAAAATATTAATGCCTATGGCCAACCCTTTAATGACAGCGCCGCACGCACCGTCGATGCTCCGACCGGGCGGCCACGGTCCTATTGACCATCAGCCTTTTGAATCGCTGTATCAAACAGCCACCAACCACCCACCGCTCACCGTGAAAACATTGGATATTCAGTTCGGAAGATTGACGTTGCCCCGTCGAAGCGCGTCCGCCGACCTCCGCCAGCCCACGCCGTTTTCAGCTAGGATGTTGACTGCTTTCGAGAATTGGGGGAGGGGGGGAGAAGAGTGGATATTTTAGCCATTAATTGTGGTATTATTAATTCTCATAGATGAAGATGATGGGAAAAAAAATAAGAGACGACTTGGGAAGGATGAAGGAGATAGAGAACAGAAAAATGAGGAGGGAACTTGGGAAGGATATCCCTCGTACTATAAAATCGGCACTTACCATTAAGCCATAGCTTACCTTATCACAAGAATATTTAAAAAAGAAACAATTAAATATTAGAAAACATATATATGCAAATATTTTGTGCATATTCTTCAAATCTGCTAATAAAAACAAATCCTGGTAGATATGTAAATATTTTTGAATGAATTCGTCCTTGGCATAATTTTTCTTTATTATAAATAGGGTCAGAGATAGGGTGGACCATAATCTATGTATTCCTCTTCCTATTAGGAGACGTAATTCTAACCTTCTTAAAAATGTATTGTAGCCTATAAATACATTATGTGGGGTCTCATTATATTGCCAGACACACATGAAATTCACGCCATCCAGAGAGAGGGAGGCGTGAGATTCGTCGAGTGCAAGATAGAGGTAGTACTGACCACATCAGTTGGTAGATCGTCACCTGCACGACACCCAATCACGATGAAGGAATACAGTAAAAGACTTCAAGGTAGAGGGGCAGAAATGTTCGTCCAGTCCTGTAGAAAGTATCGTCTCAGAGTCAGCATATCTCAAATGTAAGACTTTGATCCTAAATTATAGATTCGTTGCGATGGAATTAATTTCTTAAAGTTTGATTAACGAACAATTAAGCAATGTTCTGCACCGGATCCAACACTATATATATTTTTAAAAAAGGAAAAAGAAATTTAACCTCCCAAAGTACGTCATTTTTTAGAGTTCGCAATATAAACTTATTTTTTTGGCAATTTGCCTCCTCGATTAAAAATCCTAATATGGCACAAAAGAGTTTTAACTAAATTAATGATAAATTTTAGATTAATCTTTAAAATTGATTAAGGGCTTTTGAAGTTCATGGCGAGACGAACAAAATGGGGTATGGTTTGTCGAATTCTGAAAATTGATATATCTATAATCGATCCACGAAGATAGTAGGAGCACGTGTGTATAGAAATAATTCAATTCAAGTTTTTTGATAATCAAGATTCTAATTTTCAATTGGGAGGTGTCATTTGGAAGCTTGGAAGATGAGTTTTATATCAAAGTAAATTTTATCAAAGTCAAACGATCAGATTTTGGTTAGTAGCCTACAATAAAGCTGACTATTGATCAGTAATTTTCTAAATACTGATCAAAATCTGAGCGTTAGATTTTCATAAGATTTACGCGTTAGGAAATTGGTTCTACAAGCTTTCAAATGCCACCTCCCAATCGAAAATCAGATATGTTGATTATCAGAAAACTTGAATTGAATTTTTTTTCTATACACTCGTGCTCCTACTATCTTCGTGGATCGATTATAGATGTATTGATTTTTAAAATTCGATAAATCATATCTCATTTTGTTCGTCTCACCATGAGCTTTAAAAGCCTTAAGTCAATTTTAAAGACTATTTTAAATTTTATCATTAATTGAGTTAAAACCTCTTTTGTGCCATATTAGGGTTTTTTAACTGAGGAGACAAATTGTCAGTTTCGATTACATTGGGAGGTAATTTGTCAACAAAAAAAAGTGTATATGGCAAACTCTAAAAAATTGCATACTTTGGGAGGTTAAGAAAAATTTTCCCTTTAAAATGGGAATATTTCATATTTGGAACTTTAATAATGCATGCAATATTTTATAAGTTGTTTCTTTTTTTTTTTGTTTATTACTTGAAACAATTCGATAGTTTCAATTTTATTTTTAATTGATCATAATTTTCGGTTTGAGATGCAAATAAATCGTAATTATTTCAATTATTTGAAATTTTCAAGCATTTGCATTTTTTTTTTGTTTCATTTCGTTGATCCCATTTTTCATCTTTTAAATATAAATCTGATCTTTATTTGTATGCGGACGATTGAATCATAATTTTGAAAATTTATTATTTCATAATATTCCTTAATTAATCCAGATACTTTTAGTTATTACGTTTGAAGTATTACAAAATTTATTTTTAAAGAACAATTTAAATATAAAACTTTTTTATAATAATCAAAGGTCTTGAATACGATTTTCTCTCTCTACCCCAAAATTTCCAAATCCATCGATCCATACCCTCGTCTTCCTCGCCGTACGGTGCCTCTCTCAGCGGCCAACTGGCTTGCCGGTGGACAACTCTCCGTCACTCATCCATGCCTCGGTACGCTATACTCTTCTCTATTGTCTCTGACCGAAGGGTGCGTACGGTGGTCTTTGGTAGATTTCTCTGATTTGTGCGTGAAACCGCCGGTATTCCTGGGTGAGGATGGGTAGGGTGTGGCGCTAGAGGCTGGACTCCGCTAGGGTCGCTTGCGTAGTGCAAGTTCTGATGACTCCTCTCGTCGGCCTTTGCAGATGGCCTCGTCTCCATATCTGTTGTTCTTGCCGGTGTCGTTCTGCAGTCTTTGGTCACCGGCACTTTGGATCGACAGTGGATATGGGTTGGGGTTCGTTGTTGAGAGGCTGAGAGGACAACTCAGGTTCGTACTGGTTGTGGCGGAGTGACGGGGGGTTCCCTTGTCCCCTTTCTCTAGTGAGGACTGGCATTTCGGAACTGGCTAGTGGTGTTAGCTGGTTTTGGAACGATGGTGGGTTTGGGACGTTCGGGGCATTTTTTGTTGGAGAGCGTGTCAGTTTTTGGATTAATTCGGAGCTTGAGTCTTTGTCTTTGCTAGGCATTCGGTAGTAGCGGGCGTGGTTCTTGTGTC